GAGAGTGCATATGTGTTTATTTATTTAATTATGTATTTCTTTATTAGAATTGTTTTAAAATGAGATCACCTTTTGCAATTACATCGCACAATAAAATAGAAATAAAACATCTGGACGCAGTACAGTAATGAGAATTTAGGAGGATTTGTGCTTAACTATCATGAAAATAATACTAAAACAGGTCCTAAAACAGGCTTCATTTCCCCTTTTTCAATGTTCATTTGCATCAATTGGAGCTGATTCCAGCATTAAAGCTGACCTTGTCATGTGTTTGTGAGACCTGAACTGTTATATATCCGATCTAAATCTAAACGGGGTTGACTTGATGTTCTGAGGGTGAATTGAACATGAAACCGAACAGTAACCACACAAGTTGTTTTTAAACAGAACACCTAGGGTAAGCAGCAAACTTCAAAAACATAAATTATGCAACGAAGAAAAATAAAAAAAGCAAAGATGACGATTTTGGAGACGCTAGTTACCGAAGAAGGGATGAGCAAGAGCGTTTCAGGGATATGACATTCAGGTTTCATAATTTAATGAGAGTTCTTGAGCTGAAAGGGCTTTTGTGAGTAGTTTTTCATGGACCAGGATTGTCGAGCGGAGACTTGGTGTTCCCGGAAGAGGTCATCCTCCTGTTCCACATTCTCTCTGACTGTAATTACAGAGAAACACATGTTAGCTGGCCAGATTTTCACTCACAGATCTTTGTCTGAGGGCAGAACCGAAACTGTGGCATTTTAATTTGCCCCCACAACTGTGAAACTTGCCCTTTTCCTAATGGATACAGAAACTGTGTGTGCTAATTACTAGTTCATACTTGGCTACTCTCAGCTTCAACACAGCCTCTAGGCAACAGCGAGAACTTGTGCTCCTTCTCTGTTCTGTGAAGTCCCACTTAGAGAATGCATAATGAAGGGAAATTATAATTAAAACTGTGGCCATGAGTTTTACAGCATTTGAAATAAGACTGTTGTTTTATATCTTTAACCTCACCATATGTGCCCAGTGTAGAGTGCATATCATATTTTATTCAGCATTATTTTAATAACAGATAAAGTGCCACATTTGTTGTGTGAATTGTGGTTTAGATAACAGCAGATATCAAATAGTTCAATGGCACCTGAGGATTTATTTAATAGACCCTTGTGAAAAAGAATTATACTTTTGCATACTTGAATATAAATGTAAAGAATATACTTAAGTGTGAACTGACTGTAATGTTTTCGGACACTTACTTGCATGTTAATTGCAATTAAATGAAAATGTATTATAGTTTAAATGTATATTAAATGCAGTTAGATAAAGTGCTTATTAAGTAGGACTTAAGTACATAATTTATGGTAAACTAAAATATACATGGTAAAAGTATTTTTTAAAGCTGTAAATAAAAAAAAAGATAATTGGAGTACGTTTTACAGGAAAATAGTATTTAAGTGTTTCTACTTAAAAACGTTCAGTTTAATTCATTCTTACTTGCCATTTCTTTCAATAATTGTGAAATTTACTATAGCAATTTCTGAGTGAACATTGTTTCTACACCATTTTTAATGTAATTTCTATTCAAATAAATATATTTGTAATTACATTTAAATATTAACTTTAAATAAAATATCAAATAACACTAGTTAAATTATAATCAAGTATTTTAAGTTTACTTAAGTGTGTTAAGAAAGTCATAAAAGTATCTCACTTTAAGTGCATTTAATGTGGCCTTTTATTTCATTATTATATTATCTATAAGTACCGCTTTTCAAAAATACACTTTTAAGATTTGTACACTACAAGTGCACATTCAATACAATTAAGCACACTTCTTTTTCACAATGCGAGATGTCAGTTTCAATAAGTATAAACCTAATTTTTCTTGAATTCACTGGCCAGTATTTGCACAGCGTGAGAAACTGTCAAGATCTCCTCAGTAATGTGTGATTCATGGGGTTGTTTACTCAGGAGAAATATCTGAGATTAATGAGATGCAAGCATTAATTAGATTCTCCATCTAACATCATTTATAGGAGAAAAACTGAGATAATATAAAGCATCTCATTTGTGATGTTTCTTTCCTATGGGGCGGCTGCAAGCTGAACCCAACAATAGTGCTGTCAGATGCTCATGATGCTTCATCAGTATCCTCCTCCTGTCTTTTGTTTTTTATTGTATATGTGACCATTGTATATCTGGAGCACAAAACCAGTCATAAGGTGAAAATCTGGAATCTGAGGGTGCAAAAAAATCTAAATATTGAGAAAATCATCTTTAAAGTTGTCCAAATGAAGTTCTTGGCAATGCATATTACTAATCAAACATTAAGTTTTGATATATTTACGGTAGCTAATTTACAAAATATCTTCATGGAACATGATCTTTACTAAATATCCTAATGATTTTTGGCATAAAAGAGAAATGTATAATTGTGACCCATACAATGTATTGTTGGCTATTGCTACAAATATCCCCCAGCGACTTAACACTGCTTTTGTGCTCCAGGGTCACAATTGTAATTCTGCCATATAGTTAAAGCACTAAAGCAATTACACAGTGATGCTTTGGGAAAAGGAAACCCATGCATTAATGCCAGTGACAACCTCGAGAGTACAAATTAAAACAGAGAGCCCCGGAAAAGCACGACCTACATTGCTCTGCTCATAATCCGCAGATTTGATCATTTCCACTTGGCGTCTTTCCAAGATAAGGATTTTGCAGCTGTTGGAAACAATTTGATCCAAAACAGAGAACCGGGGGGGAAAAAACTGCCATTTATGTCTATTCAGGGCTTCTGTGGACGCACACAAAACAGCGCAGCATCCTCACGTCCATTATGAGAAGAAAATCAACACAATGCCTTCCCAGAAAACCCATCTTCTGTGTGATCTGAGAAGTGATGTGTCAGAAAACAAGCAGAGTCTAGACATGTCCAGAATAGAGACACGCACACGGTCTACAAGACAATTTCATTACAGGTCATTCCTGAGCTCCAGTAATAATTCACTCTGTCAGACTTTGTAAGAAAGGGTTTGAACCCACAACCTACTGTACGAGGTTTTATCCACAACTCCTAAAGCTGTGCCAAATGTCAAAGAGACATGTTAGTTTGAGACCAGGCACATGACTTTAGGACAAAAATCTGGAAAGTAATAAGATGGTTTATCTAAAGATAAATGGACAAAATGTAAATCAACCCCTCTAGTGACTATGCCAGACATCACAACTCTTCATAAAATGGTTGCAGGGCTTTCAAAGGCTCCCATTGCAGAGGAAAGACGAAATACAGCAGGGCAGCGTCTACAGCTTTGAATAGACTCTGATATTTCCATTATAATGAATTGAATGGAATATTGCATTAACATGTCTATTCGATCTGGTTACAGTGTTCAACCCTGTCACCCTATAACCCGACACATGACGGTTTTCGACAAATTAAACACAGGAAGACAAATAATTATGAACTTAATGCTTGCTGAGTGACAGGTTAGGAGCAATCATGTAGAAATGGATTGCTTGTCCCATTTCTGAAACGAAGACATTTTTATTTATTTAAGGAAATTATGAGACCAATAACTCATTAGTAGATTTGTCCATTTCTGGCTAAGCCACAGAACGTGTGGAGAGAGTGAATAAAGAAACTCCAAGTGTGTTGCAACTAACACATATTTCCTGAAGCAGAGCTCTGATGTGTGGTTTTCAGAATCATTTATTGGGTGAAGAAGCACATTCAACCATTCCTCCATGCTGAACAACATCCCCAGGTTGCTCTGTATACGAGGAAAGAGGGATTTCACATTAAACCCATTTTGTGGTCTATTATTTTCCTCGCTCTTGCCATTTCACTCTGTGGTCTTACATTAGGGGTTGAATCCTTGAAAAACCCAGAAAGCACAGTCGGTGCTCAGAAAAGGCCATTCAGCTTGGACAAAAATATCATTTTACATTCTGAAACAAAATCAGGTCAGATTATAAACAAGTAAACATTTTGCCCTAATGCTGCCTTCAAGTCCTATGTGTGTGTGTGTGTTTGGAAATCATAATTATGATTTGGTCAGAATAACATGGATGCATAGCATCCTCCATGATTCTTTAATTCACAAATTCACACTGTAGTTTAACATATGATGATTTCAACAGAACCTGAAGGCAGCATTACAGTTCAAAATGCATTTACATACAAGATTTTTGTTCCTCTAGGTACATGTATGACACAAAATAGCAGTAGATTACATTCAAATAAAAGAAACTGAGCATTCAAAAGAGTTTTATCTCATTCCAGTGCAGCTCTTGTAGCCCAAATACAAACACGTGTCGACAAGGGAAACACACTAATGCATTATTAGTGTCTATTGTGTAAGAACGCTGCACCACAGTGAATTTCACAGACTTTGATCTGGCCTTTGTGCACAACAAGTTAAAAGATGAAATGAAAACATCCATGTAACACAGCGAGACGGAGTGAGAGCGACAGGCCCAGCGGTGCATTTAGACATGAAAACACCGAAATGATGCCAAGGACCACATTTACATAAAGTGTCCCATATATGTTGCACTGCTCTACTTCAACACAAATGTACAATTTGTGAACATTTGAACAAGTCGTCTAAACAGATCCAAGCACAAATAAAATCAGAAAGCACACAAGTGAATCTCATGAATGCATCTCCAGATCAAAAAAAGCCTGATTTTAGGACCTCCCCCCACCACACACACTTTTTTTGTTGCGATTGTTTTGTAACATTATTGTTATAATAATAAGCACATTTCCCAATTTCAGTCTTTTTTTTTTTTTTTGAAACATGGTTAATTCTTGTTTCTTGTCATGAAAGTAATTCTGTTTTTATTTCATAAAGTAAAAGGATAGTAAATAATATTTACGGTAAAGGCAGTACTACATACTACCAGGACTACCATAAACACTGCACTATAAAATATATATTTTTTGCATTATGGTAATGAGAATCTGACGAAAATGTACTTAAAACTAAAAACAGGCTTCATTTTCCTAAATATGACCTGGGCATATTCTTGACAGATTTTGTGAGATTCACTCATTTGTAGCATCAAACTGACAGATAAATCAAACTTCCTGACACTGCACTTTAAATAAGTGCAAGCGCTGTCGACCTCATTAGTGCCTATCAATGTCTCTGTTTCATCTCAACGAAAAATATTTTTTGTTTGTTTCAATAAAACATTATTAAAAAAGTATAGCACACATTCCCGGTCGAGTTCTCACAGTTAATCTCATAACACCATGTTCTGCACATGTCAAAATCCACGTTTCAAAGACACCACAATTTTGGGATTCACAAACTGAATGAAATCATACTAGCTTTATCCCGTCCCGTCCCGTCGCCAGACTTTCCCCTGGGGGGCTTCTGAGAGCTGCAGGTCAGTCCATGGCAGCTTTGCTACTTTAAGGTTTCTGGATGTCAGATCTGCTCGGCAGCTGCTGAGGGATAGCGATATTAAAGAAGAAGCCCTCCACTAATCTCTGGATCACAGACACAGACATAAAGACACTTCCGTCTGAGTTCCTCTCCATATGTGCAGCGTCACAGACTAGCTCATTCGTTAATGCTTAATGAAGCTCATGTTGAAACTATGCAGTTGAATTTGTTCAGGGGTTTGAAGGGCATCGGCCTATACGCAACATGACAAAAGCTTAAAGCGCAAACGGCTAATCTTTTACTGCAGTTCTTAGAGTTTGAAGTTTCTGAAGGACACAACAAGGAGAAAAGCATATATAATATCAACAAGAAAGTTTTGCTTCATCCAGAGCCGCAAATACTCTATTCTGACCTTGAATGTGTAGACAGATTTTTTTTTCTTTTCTAATTAATCACAGTCATTTTAGTTATTGGTCAGGCTGACAGCAAAGCCTCAACAAACATAAAGAAGAACTGAGGACGAGATAATCCATCATGTGAAAACATGTAAACGTGTGTTTCTTTTGAACTGTCTCTGTAAGTTCCCAGTGCAGTATTGGGACGTGGGTTACCTCTATAACGAGAACGCTTCCAGCCTGACAGACGTGTCCTTAGGAATCAAAGAGACGGTCTTCACAAATCTCCAGTGCTGCTTTTGTGGCACCGCCAAATACCTCCACGTTGGCATCGACCCACGGCACCACGTTGCCAGGCATGTAGGCTGAGCAGTTGGCCATAGCGGAGATGTCTATAGGACGCAGGACTCTGTCCCACATGTTGAAGTGGCTTAACTCTCCTACGAAAGCTTGAGTGGCATCAAATCTCCCACCTACAATGTCCTGTGGGACAACAGCACACATCATACTTGGGATGGGTCATTGGTATAAAGCCATTCAAAAATTGAGGGGTTAGTAAGATTTTTTAATGCTTTTAAGTCTCTTATGCTCACCAAGGCTAAGGCTACAGTAAAAACAGTAATATTGTGAAATATTATTACAATTTAAAAGAACTGTTTTCTTTTTGAATATATTTTTATTTATTGCTGTGATGCAAAGCTGAATTTTCAGCATCATTGCTCCAGTTTTCAGTGTCACATGATCCTTCAGAAATCACTCTGCTGATCTGATGCTTAAGGAACGTTGAAAACAGTTGTACTGCTTCATATTTTTGTGGAAACTGTGAGTATTTGTTGAATAGAAAGTTAAAAAGAACAGTGCTTATTTGAAAGAGAAATGTTTTGTAACATTATATGTTTTACTATCACTTTGATCAGTTTAATGCATCCTTGCTGAAAAAAAAAATGGAGAAAATCTTATTTTGAACAGTAGGGTAACACTTTAGAATAGGGAACACATATTCACTATTAACTAAGCGATTTCTCTCAATAAACTCCTAATTTGCTGCTTATTAATACTTAGTAAGGTGGTTGTTAAGTTTAGGTATGGGGTAGGGTTAAGGGATCGAGAAAATGGTCATGCAGAATAAGACATTAATATGTGCTTTATAATTACTAATAAACAGCCAATATGCTAGAAATATGCATGCTAATAAGTAACTAGTTAATAGTTAGAATTGATTCTTAAAATAAAGTGTTACCAATAGTAGTGCTGACCGACACACTGTCCTTTATCTGTAAAACATTTTACATATTATTTTTTAAAATGTCATTGTTCTTTTCATTTAACTTCTTTCATATCTCCTTTAAAGCACTGCATTTAAAGTCATACACATTCAGGCAGAAGCGTGTCCTGTCACGAGGGTTGCATTTTTAATTAGATCTTAGTCTTAATCTGAGCCAAACCCTAATGAGCCTCCTCGATGTCTGCTTGGAGTATGTAACCTTCTAATGTTTTCTGATGGAACCTCACAGGAGACTACACTAAAATCCTCAGCATAGAAAATTCTGCTGAGACCTGAAGTTAGTTAATCTATCTACATACTTTGTAGCAAGCTGCCTGAATAAAAAACACATTCAGTGTAATTCTACAGACATCTGATATTCCTCTAATGCCAGCTCTGTCCTCAACATCAACCAAATCCATGGGTTGAGCCTGCTGGGTAAGGAAGCTAAGTTGATATGACCCAGTTTGGGTTGATAATCATTCATAATCAGTAACCCAATGGTGCTGGGTTGGGAATGCGGTTGGAATGAGATCACACATATCATGCAAGTTCAAACGGTTCTTTGAGTGTCAAGACCACTTTGTCTAGCTTTGTTTTGTGGCACTCATGAGAGGAATATACTTGTTAAATATAAGAAAACTAGCTGAAGCAGAGAAAAGAAAGGATTTTGAAACTGCCTGCAATGAGGAACGTAAACTCTAAAACATGCTGGGTTAAATATAACCCAGCGCTGGGTTAAAAAGGGACAAACCCAGCTATTGGGTTGTTTTGACCCAGCTATTGAATTGTTTTGACCCAGCGGTTGGGCTGTTTTGACCCAGCTATTGAATTGTTTTGACCCAGCGGTTGGGCTGTTTTGACCCAGCTATTGAATTGTTTTGACCCAGCGGTTGGGCTGTTTTGACCCAGCTATTGAATTGTTTTGACCCAGCGGTTGGGCTGTTTTGACCCAGCTATTGAATTGTTTTGACCCAGCGGTTGGGCTGTTTTGACCCAGCTATTGAATTGTTTTGACCCAGCGGTTGGGCTGTTTTGACCCAGCTATTGAATTGTTTTGACCCAGCGGTTGGGCTGTTTTGACCCAGCTATTGAATTGTTTTGACCCAGCGGTTGGGCTGTTTTGACCCAGCTATTGAATTGTTTTGACCCAGCGGTTGGGCTGTTTTGACCCAGCTATTGAATTGTTTTGACCCAGCGGTTGGGCTGTTTTGACCCAGCTATTGAATTGTTTTGACCCAGCGGTTGGGCTGTTTTGACCCAGCTATTGAATTGTTTTGACCCAGCGGTTGGGCTGTTTTGACCCAGCTATTGAATTGTTTTGACCCAGCGGTTGGGCTGTTTTGACCCAGCTATTGAATTGTTTTGACCCAGCGGTTGGGCTGTTTTGACCCAGCTATTGAATTGTTTTGACCCAGCGGTTGGGCTGTTTTGACCCAGCTATTGGGTTGTTTTGAACCAGAACAACCCAATAGCTGGGTTTGTCCCTTTTTAACCCAGCATTTTTTCGAGTGTATTGTTTTAAAATGGTAGGGTTTTATTTGAGTGTTTTTTCTCACTTCAAAATCATTTGAGTAGTGACCGGTGAGAAGTGAAAAAGCCAGACTGATGCGTGAGAGGATTGATTAAAAATGCTTTAAATGCAGAGAGTACGATCTTGTTGATTTGCTATAATACATAGCTTTTTCTTTTTTTTTTCTTCAAAGTTTCAGTTTTTATTACAGGTTTTTCTGTCTTTGCATTTCTTGGCGGCACTCAACGCCTTATGCTTTGGCCATAGTGGGTCTATTTTTGTTGGCAGAGAAAAAAAACAAACAAAATAGCTGTATTTTTTTAGAGTTTGAGAATAGTAATGTCAAGGACGTAGGTTCAATCCTCAGGGAGCTGATTAAAATTCATACCCTGTATGCATTGCTAAAAGCAGTAAAAGCATTACTAATGAAGTTGATGAATTCTGTGATGTTTTGTGGTATTGGTTTTAAAACAATCCATTTGTTTAATAAAATTACAGACATCTGTATGATAATAACGCTGGGTCAAAACAACCCAACAGCTGGGTCAAAACAACACAATAGCTGGGTTTGTCCCTTTTTAACCCAGCATTTTTTCGAGTGTATTGTTTTAAAATGGTAGGGTTTTATTTGAGTGTTTTTTCTCACTTCAAAATCATTTGAGTAGTGACCGGTGAGAAGTGAAAAAGCCAGACTGATGCGTGAGAGGATTGATTAAAAATGCTTTAAATGGAGAGAGTACGATCTTGTTGATTTGCTATAATACATAGCTTTTTCTTTTTTTTTTCTTCAAAGTTTCAGTTTTTATTACAGGTTTTTCTGTCTTTGCATTTCTTGGCGGCACTCAACGCCTTATGCTTTGGCCATAGTGGGTCTATTTTTGTTGGCAGAGAAAAAAAAAAAAAAAAATAGCTGTATTTTTTTAGAGTTTGAGAATAGTAATGTCAAGGACGTAGGTTCAATCCTCAGGGAGCTGATTAAAATTCATACCCTGTATGCACTGCTAAAAGCAGTAAAAGCATTACTAATGAAGTTGATGAATTCTGTGATGTTTTGTGGTATTGGTTTTAAAACAATCCATTTGTTTAATAAAATTACAGACATCTGTATGATAATAATTCACATTTCAAAAAATGGTTACACAACTATCAAAAAGAACTTTGCATATAACCTAACTGTCAATTCCTCAGAGCAATGAAGTTCAGAGTCTGAAGATAGTTCCATGAAGAACCTTTATCATCTGTGGAACTTTTCCATTAGCCAAAAGGTTCTTTATAGTGGGGAAAGGATCATTAGATTATTACATTTAAAAGAAAAAAAAAAGGTTCTTTTAAGGACTGTTCACTGAAAGGTTCTCTGGGGAACCCAAAATGGCATCACTATGAAAAACCGCCTTTTGGAACTTTTATTTTTAAGGATATATTTACAATGCAAGAGTTCCAATTTTGAACTGATATCCTATAGAGCTGCTCATAGCATAAATGAACTTGTTTCATAATTGAGGAACTTTGCAACATGTTATTGAACTGAATCGAATCAACACTGAACTGAATTATGAGCTGAATAATGACACTATTATCTTCTGTAGAGTTGCTTTACAGCTGAAATTGAATTTGTTTCATAATTGATGATTTAAACAACAGTAACCCTTTTGTATTTTCCTGCTTTTTAATGTGAAGCTGCTTTGAAACAATCTGTATTGTATAAAGCGCTATAATAAATATGACTTGATTTGACCCAGCTAAGAGCTATTATTTCATCACTTCTTGCAATTTAGGCCACAGAATGTGCTTTTTCATGCACTGTTAAGCGGTGTGAATGCACTCAATTAACAGAGTAGCTCAGTGTAGGTGACCAGCAGATTATGTGTCACGTGGATTTTGTGTGCTTGCATTCTGTGTCACACGTAACATTTCTCTCAAGAAGTCCCTGAGCTCTCGGTGCAGCTGAGAGGTGACGTCTTCTCATCATCGCGTGTGAAGACTTATTATTATCGCTGCATGTCTTCCTCGTGAGGGATCAGCTCTTTTACGTCCTCTCTCTCACTCTCATGCACTCACCTGTTCTTGGCCCAGGATAATGACTCCTCCAGGTTTAATTGGGTGCCAGGGGGCCAAATTCTCTCCAGTCCCTAGTCTCTCTCCATCCTGATAGGCCTCCCAGAAGCCGTCTCTGGTTGTCCAGGTGATGCAGATGTGATGCCAGCGGCCGTCACTCACGGAGAGAGGAAGCTGAGCTACCTGTGACAGCAAGGACCAAACAGTAGGGAGTTATGACTATGGAAGCTGATACTAAAAAGTGCATAGTAAGTAAAGAAGTAATGGCTTTCACAGTAATTATTCACTAGATGTATGCCGGTTTCCTCCATTGTGTCCCTACAGATATGTTCCTGAAATGCCTCACTGTACTCACTTCCCATCAAATAACATAACTAAACTTACTGAAGGAAATGTAAGTATGCCAGTCGCTGTCACAATGCTAAGGTGTTTTAAGCTGTAATGTGGTTGCTAGGGTGTCCTTTGTGGTTGCTAAGGTTGTCTTGGGTGCTTGGCCACATCAAAAGAGTCCAGCCATCAAATATTCAGATCCCTAGATAAGGTTCAATTCCCTCCTTAAATGCAAGTCTATGAGTCTGATTGCTTAGAACTGTAATATCACACCTCTGCTCAACAAGCTGCACAATTTGAGGTGACATTCATGTTACGCACCAAATTTAATACTCAAGAGAGGGGTTTGTTCAGATTACTAACCATATGTGAAATAAACAGTGTTCAGCAATTTTTTTACTAGCCAAATGCAGTCATTTCAACAGCAATCCACACGATTTGGAATTTTATGTGAGGATGAAAATATTCCCCACACAGATTTTGCCGTGTTAGTCACGTGAATATGTCGTGTTGTCCAACAAAAAGCTGCTTGGTTTGGAAATGACTTCTGTGTAAGCTGCGCTTCATACATCGGCCACTGAAAACAGGCAATAGACCATCCGTTCTGGCCAAAATATGAGTGCATAATCCACAATAAAGCATTCTCCAGTGGAAAAAAATCCCCTGTTGCTCACTCACATCAAAAGCCATCAACATGTTTGTTTAGAACTGTTTTTTGCTTAAACAGTGCTTGAGCTGTGCATATTTCTCTCCCGATTCAGACAAGACGACTTTTTCACTGGAGAAAGCAATATGGATAGAGGACTCGTATTTTGGCCAGAAGCAACAGTTTGAAGTTAAAAACGTCTTAATGATGGATTTCTCTTACAAACACATAGCTTTTCATATCACACGACATTAACTGATGGCCTGGAGTGGTGTGGATTGCTTGTGAATTATTGTGATGCTTTTTATCAGCTGTTTGGACTCTCATTCTGACGGCACCCATTCACTGCAGAGCATCCATTGGTGAGCAAGTGATAAAATGCTACATTTCTTCAAAACTGACGGAGAAATGATTTTCATCAAAATCATGTGACCTCTTAGGTTTAAACTGCAGCGTTGCAGTAAAGTGGAGCAGATTGCATGTTTTACATTTTCAATGTATTGTGTTATGTTTTTAAAAAGACACGTGTGTGACGTCATATTACGACAATTTCTGATGCAATGTCTGTAGAAATTTTGCATGCTCAATGTCTAGTGCATCTTAAGGGAGGATATAAAGTGTCTCGATGAATCATCATAACATAAACTGCCCTCTATAAAGTTATATCTGACACTCCACATCCTTTAAAATAGTTTATATAGTTAATCTCCGAGCTAGACACACATTGAGTTTGACAGCTACTGCACCTTGAGACTAGGCCTTTAATGCACTTAAGTTTATTCGTATGCAAAAAGTATGAAAACACAACATTCAGACAGAAGTAACGAAGCACAGAGGTGTGATGCATTCACTGGAGCACTGAAGACACACTCGACAGGTAATCATTTTCAGCATGGCAGCAACTCTCTCGATCCTCCTCAATATCTTGTTCTTTCCAGCTTGACGTACACACTCTCACACACACACACATGCGTACATGCACACACTGTACATATCTAATGCATGCTGTGTAGCGCTGCGGGGCAAGATGCCTCTCTCAATAAGCAAGATGCCAAACTGACACTTCCTGAGTGAGGTATCAGGGGAATTAGCAGGGCAGCAGAGCTCATTCGTTCTTTTCCCATCTCTCGCTCTCTCAAGACCCCCAGGTTACACTCAACAAAAACCAGTGATGGTGCAACATCCTCCACAATGATCCAAAGATACAGCATCCATGGTTACTGAGACATGCTAACCTCATTTACGGAAGAGATATTGGAAGCTAATTTTCCCCAAAGAAAAGCAGCTCAGTTTCATATTCTTGATTTAGAACCACGGAGGCCATATTTAATTCATTTATGTGTGCTTTAATACTAAACTCTGAAATCATCTATAGGGTCTTGTGCAACAACAGCCTCTGAAAGCTAATCAGCTAACTTTCATTTCATTTAAAAGTGCATGTGAAAACCTTTTGTGGTGTTTTGTGTGTGTCTCTATGAGCATCATGCATTCAGAGATCCTGACGAATATTTTTCTCATGCAAAATGAGTCCTCATGCATATAAAAAAATGTCTTCAAATAATAGTATGGAGAACTGTTTTAGATAATCTCATTCATTATAAGCTGTCTAATCTTTTTTTGCATTGTTTAGCTTTATATTATATATTGTGGGTTATTGTGTTATATTATATATGGGTGTGCGATAACACGATTTTCGATCGTGGATGATTAAAACGTCTTCACGATCTGCTTTTGATGAAATATCGTAGAATCGTGCTACAGCGCACATTCTATCAGATGCACTTCTGGCACCTCCTTCACAATATACTGTACAACAACACAAACATTCACATCAAATATTAACTCGGCGGTAGAATTACAATCACGGGACACTGCACTTATTCGCAATCACAAAAGTACCTTATTTGCATGTGCTTTAAAGCCTTGCCGGTTAAACATTTAATTCACGTGCTGTTCTGACATGTGCTTTTTCTGAACGCATACACTTGAAGCGCGCACTAAAAGCCTGTCAAACAGCACCTGATTACTGGACTAAGTTATCTTTTGATTCTGATTGCGCTAATACTGTCAAAACACACAAGGTTTACATATAAACACACTTGGTTATGTTGAAAGTGAAAGTAAACGTTTGAATGAAAAATGGATGCGTGCCTGTATATTAGATACGTGCAGGTCTTGAAGCGACAGCAGATTAAGTGAAGTTTATTAACATAATTTCAGGAGGAGTACGCAAATCTAATCTTCCAATTAATATCCAAGTATAAAAACAGCCTCTTACCACTTCCGTTGTCAGCTCTTTCGGCATCCCTCCTCCTCCCCATCTCCTCATTTTATGCATATTTATTTACTTATCTTTCTGTCTATAGGGGGGCTAACGGAGCTCAAGTAGAATAGTCTCTCTGAGCCCTCCATTGCGGACATCAAGCCAAATCTGTTTAGCACTAATGCTAAGATTATATGGGCACACAAACTCGTGAATTATAATAAACATGCTGCCGCTTGCCATTAAAGGGATAGTTCACCCAAAAATTAAAATTCTGTCAATATTTACTCCCTTTCATGTTGTCCCAAACCTATATTAATTTCTTTCTTTTTATATTTTATATTTTGAAGAATGTGGGTAACCAAACAGTTGCTGGTCTTGACTTTGATAGTAGGGGGGAAAAACCACTATAAAAGTCACTGGGGACCAGCAGCTGTTTGATTACCCACATTCTTCAAAATATCCTCTTTTGTGTTCAGCACAAGAAAGAAATTAATATAGGTTTGGGACAACATGAAAGTGAGTAAATATTGACAGCATTTACATTTTTGGGTGAACTCTCCATTTAATGTTAATAAAACAACAAAACACAAAGAAAAAAAATCACCTGTATTGTATAAAGCACTATATACATAAACGTGACTTGACTTGACCAGGTTAAAAGTCTGATCATAAACTTAACCATTTGAGGTGTGGGATGAGTTATGTGTTGAAGTGTAACACCTTTTATAAAAACTTTCTAGCAGCTGAAAAATATATTTAGGCAAGGCCTATATATCGGACTATATTTTGCATTTTTAATTATCAGCATCAGCCAATAAGCTTTTCTGTTTAGTTTATAAGTGTCTTAAGCAGGACTTTTATTTTGCAAAAGATCAAAGCCATGTGCATTGGCTGTGATCACTAGAGTTCGTCTGTCACTGAAGATGCACAAGCGAGCAACTTCATGTCATATTGACTGTACAGTCGGTAAAACTAGATTTACCTGATTAGTGAGTGCACTGTTGGTTACATCGTTTTTATAGATGTTTTTAGCAATGTATTTGTTTGTTTTGTTTGCTGTAATGCACTAAAAAGATTACAGAATCAACAAGTTTTTTTGAAAGATTTTTCCCTAATGAATTCATTTTTATATTATTTATTTCTAATTATTTTAGTAAGTATTATGTAAAAGAAATATACATTTAATTTCAGCTATTTTTATGATAGTTTTTATGACCTTTAAATCAAATACTGTGAGATCTTATACTATATAACGGTTTTATATCGGCATTGGCCATCAAAAAACATGTATCCGTCTACCACTATATTTGGCATTTTTCAAATATCGGTATCGGCCGATAAGTTTTTCTGCTTGGCCGATGTGTTCGAGGCGTGACGTTTATTTTGACGGCGTTGAGAACGGCAGCGCCTGAGCACACAGTGCTCACATTCTCCCACTTGTTTACTGTCGTTGTTAACAGTTCTGTCTAATACGGATAGAAGTCTGTCTAATAATCAAATAGAACGGTTAAACAAAGGAATTAATGTATACAAAAAGTATTATAACGATTGCTTTTATATTATTAGTAATAGAAAGGCAAACATTATAATACTTTCTCGTTTGCCATCAGCATTCAGCAAATATGCATTTATATCATTTAAACAAATCTTTGAATGGCTAATGAACATTTAATTTCACAAACCTTGCAAACTTAGTGGAATCCAGCTGAGATCTTGAGAAGTGTGCATTTTTATCCAGCATGATCGCGTGCTCTCTGCGTGACGGTCGGTCCGTGTGAATTGAATGCTTTAAACTTTAAACTCGTGATTTCAAATTATGCTG